GACAATCTCCCAAGTGTATTTAATTTCATCATACACTTGGAAACTAATCATTATGATTATGATTATGTTTAATTGCGTTCATTGACTCTTTTCCAACTGTCTTTTGGCTATGTTTTTAGTTCCGTTTTTTTGTACTTTTTGTTTTGTTTTCGAGTGCAAGTGAAACAATAATTCAGTGCAATTATGTTGGAACTGTTATCATATACAATTTTTTATAATGTTTTTAACATCCGCATTATAATCTTGTGCACAATTTTAGACCCTCTGCCTCCTGACTTTTCCAGCGTAGACTTCACAACGGGGGAAACCTTTGTGGAATTAAATCCTCAGTGGCCGATTACGGCAGTCCGCGGTAACATTGACCAGTATCATTTCGACAACAGCACTTTCGCAAATGCTGTTGCTAGTGCTTCCGGCTATAAGATGAACACGACTCAGAGTTTCAGCTTAACAGGCTTGCAACCAGGCACCCAGTACAATCTGAGTTTCTTCAGCTGGATAAATGCTTGCAACGGAGTTCGATCAAAAAGTGCTCAAACTTTACAAATGTGCACCAGTGAGTGAGATATGTTTTTGGTCGAAATAATAATTAAATAATTATACTGATGATTTCTAGTGATGAAGCCAAAAAGTCACCCACGGTTTCCAGACTTTTGCCGCGACTATTAAACATATAATGCTGATTATGCGGTTTTCGGTTGCGGAATTAACTTCGGCGAAACGGAAATGTCAAAAAATTAGTCGCGGACATCGACCCTTATACTTTTAGTATATTTGATTACATAAACTTATCTAGGGGCGGAAATAGGATTTTCTCGAGGGGGGATTTTCAAAAAGTTCGAAAATTTTGTCGATCAAATTGATTTTCCGAGCTCTGCCAAAGCAACAAAAAGACCTTGCCTTGGCCAGATTTTCTGCGCCGCAGGCAAAATTTTGAAAAAACACGCCAAAAAATTGCGTTTTTTTGGCGCGCGCTCCACCTTCAAAATTGGTATTTATTGGCGCCGAAGGCGCCCTTAAAAAACTTTTATGGCACGTCGCCAAAATTGAATATCTCAAATTAGTACAAAGGGGGACCCTTTGGGTCGGCAGGGGGTCGAATCCTTGAGGGAAAATGGCATCCAAACCACCCCCCCCCCCCCCATAAATCCGCCTCTGAACTTATCTGATCTCTAATTAAAGCATATTGCTTGAAACGCTGCAAATCAAAATATAGATTTTTAAAGAGTTTTCGTTTTCCTTTCAGAACCCAACGTGTCCAGTGTAACAGCAGTGCCTGGAAATAAAGACAATGAAATTGTCGTTTCATTTACGACTCAGGGAGCGTTTGACTCGGCCTATGTAACTGTTCGGAGCGTAGAACTAAGATATTCCAAAACCGTGCAAGCACTAAACAACACGATAGTTGTCACCGACCTGCTCCCAGCGACGACATATGAGTTTCAAGTTGAACTGACCATTGGAGAGGCTTCCGAAAACGGTTATTTTGTCTTTTTTGATGAACAAAAAGTTGATCACTATACCCAATTCTGAGAAATTTCAAATTGTTATTTTAACATTATATCGAAAGAGTCACGTTAAACCGGGCTTGAATGGGATTAATTTTGGAGTTCACCTTCAAAACACAATAAGATGACATTTGTGCGCATCTAAAATTTTGCGAGGAAAGTTTCTTATAATGCTCTAAAATTACTTTCACAAAAACCTATTTTCAAAAACATTTTGCGCCGTTGGAGACTATTTGAGATATTTGGCTTAATGCTATTTTTCTTTTTGGATGGTTTTGAGTCTTCAAATTTCTCAATCCTTAGTTTAAATAACTTTTTCACCCTTATGCAAGATTTATTTTTGACAACCATTTCTGTATAATCTATGCGTTTCAAAATTGTAACCAATTAGCTGTGTTTTCATTTTCGGGCTTATGCATTTTACTTGCCCTTAGAAAATACATATATTAGAAACTTTAATTAAAAGTATTATCAAAAATTTTTTCAAGAATTGAAAAAGTGACAGCCAAAGTTGATTTTCTGAAAGTCGAAACAGGGGAAGCGAAACAAGATCGGTAATAGCTACATAAATGACTTCATAAAAATATCACAAATATTTAAACAGAGAACTGTTTTATTTCAGAAATTGGCGGTCTAGTATGTGCACAAGGCGCAATGCGAACATCATCAGATACGATGACTGCTTCTACTGGTTTGATATTATAAATTTTTTGTATTTATCCCCGGCAAAAATTATGACAAAAAGTGGGTTGAACTTTCTATTCGTGTTTTAGTTTTAAAGAAAACGTTGATCTGTTTAGAAGTAATCAATAAGAAAACAAAAAAATGGTCCATTCATCTAACTGTGAGTTTTATGTAGCGATTTTACAAACCAAAGTTCTTAGCTCTGATTTGTATAAGCTACATACGTCGGAAGTTGCATAGAAAGATAATTGAACAAGCATCGATAATTGAACAACCGAAAGCTCAGACCACAAAAAAAATCTTTTGCATGTTTTCATTTGTCAGTGGTGTGACGATAGGGTCTAAATAAAAGTCATGAAAAATTGGCCGTATTCTACAGCTTTTTTCATCAAAAATTGACTAAAAAATCATAAAAAAAGAATTGGTCTTGCTAACTTTTCTATTTTTTCAAAACTAATTTTGTTGATTTCGCCGCCAAAATAAAAGCTTAATACTTTTTTTTACAAACCACTGGCTCGCTATTTTCTATTGCAACTATATTAAAAATGAAAAAATTTTCTCAAACCGGTTTTTCTCGACCTTGAGAAGTTGTTTTAGCAAAACTTTAGTGCGTCGTTCGATTGAAGACAGAGAGGATGTCTAAAAAATACCATGATTACTTGTGTTAACTAACATTGCGCGGAAATTTTTTTCAAACGAAAACAAAACTCGTAATCACTTTCAGTGGTTAAAATTATTAGGAGCCATTAAGCGCTCGTATAAAACAATAGTTATAACCCGATAAATTAGTATTACTTTTTTCCTGCCTCAGTTATCTGTCTCATGATGCATGACTTTTTCATGAGTTTTGCTTGACTATTACTTAAACCGCAGAAATTTAGGATTAATTTTTGAGAAACAAAGTTTTTAAATTAAAAATAAGCAAAAAATTGAAGAACAATTTACTTAAAATATGTTTCTGTTTTAAGAGTAATGAACGCAGTGAAGGCTTTTGTATAGGTCTTGGCAATTTTTTGGTTTCAGGAAAATTTTCTAAAAATTACAGATATGCATTTATACACATTAATGCATTTAAGTAAGCACTAAGGTATATATGCATTTTTTGAGTTCAATTGAAAATCATCTGCTGGATTTTACTAAATAACACTCTCAAAATACGAAAGTGATAATGGCGCGAAAACCATTTCTAGTTTCGAAAGTGGAATTTAGTTTTTAGATATCCATTTGAATAAAAATTTTACCTTTTGATGCAGTTTTCTCAAGTTGGGTTAATATTAAAAAACGCATGTCATAAATTGTTCTAGAAATTCAAAGAGCCTAAAGGGCATCTAGTTTTTCTTTGAAAATCAAAAAATTGAGATTTTTCTTACAAAATCAGAATTCTTTTTCTGTTTAAATGCGTTTATTACTTTTTCCAACTGTCTTATGGCAATGTTTTTAATTTTTTTTTCTTGTCATTTTTCAAGAAAAATTCTATAGAGTATGCCTAATTTACTATACCTATCCACTACGCCTAAGGTCTTGGCTGTAGTTCAGATCGTGTCATCACGCCACGGACAAAAAGACATAATCTCAAAAAAGTGGTCTAACTTTTCGGTGCTGCTTGTTCAGTTATCCTTGTGTAAGATCTAAATCTATTGTAGTCACTGAAATTGCTTATAGAAGGGTAGCGGTTGCGTACAGTGCAAGGGTTTTTTTGCCGCTCAAACTTGATTAAAATTACATCACGGTTCAAATAATTTCCTTTTGCAAAACTTATTTTGGCGATGTATGTACCTTCAACCAACCAGGGTAACAAACTGGGGTTAGTAATATCGTTATTTCAAATCCACAGATAGATGAATGAATTTGTTTCGATTTTTTTTCTCAGGTATTTGAACCTCTCACCAACCAAAGGGTCAACCTTTGATATTATTTTATGACATCCATTTTTGGCTGATCAACCATAAAAAACATGAATGAAATGTTCTAAAAGCGCCTTAGTTGCCAAGATATACTTATTTTGAAGAGAAGCGCGCGCCGAAAAAACTTAATTTTTTGGTAAAGTTTTTACGAAAAAGTGCACAAAAACGGCTTTTTTGGCCTGTTGTCTTTTTTTAAAACTTGCCGGCGGCGCAAATATTTTGGTCAAAATAGGGTCTTTAAAGAGTTCTGGGAGTGCTTGGAAAATCAATTTGATTCACCTGGAAAAAAGGTAGACGAAACATTACGAAGCCAAACTGTGTACTAGATAGGCGCACAAATCTGTGTCTGTATATTCCTGGATTCCAGAGACAAGTCTTTAAACATGTTAAAATTTTGTCGGAACGATCAAAGGAAAGTAAAGAACAAAAGAAGAACAAAGGGAGCGTCCTTGTTGCGGAATCCGCTTACAATGCGCAAAATGCACAGTTTGGCCTCGTAATGAATTTTCAAAATTTTTTCAAAACAGTTTGAAAATGTGCCCCCTCCCCCCTCGAGAAAGTCCTAGAGCCGCCCCTGGCGCCAATGAATATTATGTTTGTCTTCATTGGTGTCATTTTAAGCGAAATATTTTCAGGGGCTTTGCTAAATTGTGAGACTTAATTGCTAGTTACAATACCATTTTAATCTGTTTATTTATGCGCCGATGAAACTTTTTTTATATATTCAAGGATGTGAACAATTATCAAATTTTGTTGTAATTTTTTGCATCCTTCAGAGTTCTCTGCGACACCATCTGAAGTGAACTCCGAGTTCCTGGCACCAGCTGTGTGCAGAGTTAGATGGAGAGCTAATCCCAACTTCATAAATGTCACTCAGAATGACTTCTACGATGTTCTGCTGAACGGAGTCTTTGTGACAAACTGGCAGCGGATAAAGAATGTAAGGCCTTTTTTCAGAAAATTTAACCTAACACAAATAGTTTTTTTAATTATATCGTGAAATATTTTTTAGATAACTTGTGATAAAGAGTTAGATTTTTCAATGAACAGCAACTTCTTCTCAAATTTTTCTGTTACATTTCTTTGCAGTATCATGTGCCACTGAACGTAGTGAAAACACCTAAATGTCTTGACTTTTTTTCAAGGAAAGTGTCTTGAAATATGGTCATGCTCGAGTTTGATTTTTCGTGATTTCTTTTGAGATCAATTCGATCACATTGTTGGAAGTAAAACGAACTCCACTATCAAACAGCAAAAGTGTAAAAGTCTTAAAAACGTGATTGACTTCTTGTTCCGAAAGTTGAATCCAATTTTTCAGATTTTCAAGCAAAATAAAAACATTTCACCTGTTGATGCAGTTTTCTCAAATTAATTTACTTGAGTAAAAAAAATCACGAATTGTTTTAGAAATTCAAGGAGATTTAAAGTAATATTTTACGAGATAATTAACTCTCTTTGAAAATTTGACACTTTTGCTGGCATCTTCAGGCTTTTTAATAGCATGTGATTTGACATTCGGTTGGTAATAAGTTCACACAGTTGATGCTTTTTTTTTATTGTTAAAAGGAGCCAAAAAAATCGGTTTGATGAAATATCAAGGCTATAATAAAAACTCGATTTCAGGAATTTTTAACTCGCGTTTTTTTTTTGAAATGCATAGTTTATACTATATGTGTCTTTATGCTTTCCAATTTATTACTTGCAAGTTTGGATGCCTTCAGTTTGTTATATTGCAAATAATTACTTGGAGCTACTTTATTTTTGGCCAATGTTTGCCGATTGCTAAGCGTGTTTGGTCGAGAGGGCAATGCATGAGACTGCAATTCTCGCGGTCGCCGGTTACAAGCCAATGCCTAGCAAAATTTTACTAATTTGAGGCTTAGTTATCTTTTTTGCTATCCTACTGTATAAAGCAGCTTTTTTGTCGTGTTTTCGCTAGTGCTTGCGAAGCGCAGCTTCCCGTCTGTGTTTATACTTCAACAATGAAGTCTAGTTTACAGCTCCCATTTGATAATTTGGCTCGATAATATTCCTATTTTATCAGAAAAAATATACAAAAACGTGACCTATATGTATTCTAATTTTTAAAAAAAATACCCGAGTTGACCAAAATGTGCAACCATACGTCGCACCATTTATGGTTCCATGGAAGCCATGAAAAACAGCCGACATATTTTTATGTTAAAATAACACATTTTCCATGCATGGCGCGACGTATGGTTGCACTTTTTTTTATTATGGGGGACTTCAAATTAGACAATATTGATACTTTTACCATCGCTGCTGATAATTTATATGTCACCATGGGTGCTTGCCATTTATGGTTACTATGGTATCATGCATGTCGCGACGTATGAATACTATGGTATCATGCATGGCGCGACGCATGTTCCGGATTAAAAAAATTTTCTAAAAAAATCAAAATTTGAAAAAAAAAATCAATTTTTTTTCACTTTTCTTCACACATTTTTTGTCCAAAAGTATATTCTCAGCTTATTTGTCAATATTTGAAATTGCAAATAAACCCCAAAATTAAAACAACAAATTCGGTGTCGGTTGTGATAACGCATGCTCAATTAAAGTTGTTTTTGTATGGAATCATCGTTTCCATAAATAGCACCATATATGGTGCGACGTATGGTTTGCATGGTGGAAAAAAAATGAAAACCTAATAAAAGTGTATTTTGCACTACGGATAATTTTTCTCAATCTTGTTTGACAATTAACCTCAATTTTTACGGTTTTCTAGAGAAAAAAATATGGTGAAAAATCTCTTCCATACGTAGCACCAGATATGATTTGCATGGTGAAAATTTTTGATATTTTACCAACGGCTTGCATAATGATGAGAAACCGTTTTATTACTAATTTACTCCGTTAAAAAGCTATTTTGAGGGTTTTCGAAACTAACGTATGTGCTACGTATGATTAGTCATTTTCTATACAAATCATGCATGGATGTGCATGGCTGCGCATTATCTTCTATGGTGGGTAACCCGGGTATTTTAGACTGAAATGCTGAAGGCATCGCTGCTCGAATCATGCATTGATTGTTTTAAAACGTAAATTATTCATGTGACACGCTATCCGCACTCATAATCATTCTAAATGAATTAAGGCCAACTTTAAATGGTCAAAATAATTCTAGTCAAGTGTTAGCTGTTTTTAAGACAAGCTTCACCCTGATACACGAGCAGTATTGTTGTAATTCACAACCATTGAGTCTTAGGCAAAATTAAACAACCTTGAGATTGCGTGAATGTGGGACCGTGTGAATTTTTTACCCCTATTAAGCATTTAAGGAGGAAGATGCCAACTTGGTTACAAGTCAAAGTTTTCAGCCACTCAAAATCGAGTTTTAAACACTCTCCGTTTTCTAATTTCAAATTGAATAGTGAACATGATATCATAACTTGGGATTGAGGAAGATGTTTTGACAATTCAGGGCATCGTAGAATGTTTAAAGGTAAAAATTACGTCACAAAATACAGACCACAGAGACTGATATACTGTCATCATATATTGTCCCCAGTGCTAATTGAGATTTTCTTGCGATTAAATATTTTGATTTACATGCTTAGTTCTAAGTGTGGTTCTGGACGAACTGGATCTGTGTTTGAGTTACGAGGTTTCCATTTTACCACGAAGAGGAGATATGTTGAATGATCCCACGAAAGTCCAAGTCCGGAACTGTGAGTTTCAAATAGCTGAGATTTCCATTGATTTTGATAAATGAGGAATTGTTGAATTGTTTTGTGGTTTTAGGGCAAGATGGGGCTTCTATCGCAGCTATTTATCGTGAGGATACTTTTTTCTCGAATCAAAATTAAAAAAAGTCTTTTCGATTACTTTCTGAAGCATGTTTTTTTTTCGTTTCAGAACAGTTTCCTGCAGCTCTTGGTAATTACTTTTTTCTTCTACAACTTTAACAGTATCACATACAGTTTCGAATCACAATCGATTATATTATGATTTTATTATCAGTCTCACTAAAAAGGAGAAAAAATCTATTATAATCCCTTAACAATAGATTTTTTTCTCTCTTTCAAAACAAATTATTATGAAATACAATACGTTTAAGCGATAATAATTGATGATTAACCCATCTTTTTATTGATACAATTAAAACCAACTATAATGAATTTAGTTTCATCCCAATATCTAAATTGTTTGTTACGCACAAAAACTATATTTTAATCGATTATACTCAATTATCATCCTTTTGGTTTGCCCATTTTGCCTTCTGAAGTGCTTATATTTTATGACTTGATAGACGTTGGTTTATGTTAAAAATGGGAAAATTGTTTTGTCCTTTTTCACATCAATTGAAATTTTTTACTTTTTTATTTTTTGATTTCTTTTATATTATATTTGTATAAAGAAGCATATTGTTAGTTTTCTTACCACCAAAAAATTAGCACAGTGTTTTAGTTTCATGCTTTATTTCGAAGATTTGATTTCACCTACCGCGGTAACCTTTCAATTCGTATGAAGGGATCTCTATAAAACTTTCGTTTCGTGGTAAGGCTTTGTGTTCAGATAAACCAAACTTTGACAACACATCTCACTTATAAAGATTTTGTTATTGATAGAAAAATAATAACCCATAGAATATAATTAAAATAACCTTTTTCTAAGACAAATTTTTGACCAAATAGGAGGTTATAATAATTTAGAATAGATTGTACTAGATTGTGATTGCTTAAAAGAGTTTTTCTGTATGAACTATAATCAGTTATATTGCATCATAAAAGATTATAATCTCTTGCAAGTTATCAAGATTATAACCAAATACAAATCTCTAAACACCTACAAATTTGGTAACTTCACTTACACTTGTCTGATTGTTAAGCCTGAAAACAAACTTTTTATTATGTTAAGAGAGCTGCGAGTACTGTGCAAACGATGATCTTGATGATGTCTGCGCATTTCCGTTTTTGTACAATGGGCGAAATTGGTCAAAATGCCTTCAGCGAGCAGACCCTCTACCAAGCACCCTCTGGTGCTACAATGCAGATAGCCAGGAGATCAGCTGCAACATAGAGTCCCTTTTCTGCTGTTAGTGAAATCAAAAATTAACTGCTAAAATGGCCAAAATTTTATCCAGTATCTTTTTTTTCTTCTATAAATTGAAGCGATAGAATTACTCTTTTTGCAAAAATTTGCTCACATCGGGCGCTCTTGAATTTTTTCGGCGTACAGTACCGATTACTACCAGGGTTTTGTTTACAAACAGGTCGTGTTTCAATGGATCGTGTTCGGTTGTATACGCATTCGATTGTGTTCATTGGACCGACTAAAAATTATTTATGTAAAAAGGACCAAAATCTGCTGGTAGAGCCACTGGCTAAAAAAAGTTACTTTTTCTCTTCCAACGAACAAATGATGGAAATTATACCTGTATGCGCTGTAATAACCTCTGTCCGATCAAGATCTGCCATCACGTGATATTACTAGTGCGGATCAGTCAAAGCTCTCATTTTCTTCAAATTCCGATAGGCTGATATCAATTTATAAGGGCGTCCTCTTTTGTCCGATGATATGTATTAAGTTTTATATTACGATTGTTGATTCCAGTTTCGCCGAGAGCATATAACAATGTTTGTTAAATTTATTTTAATCTTGGATTTTCTTGAAGCATGGGGGTGGAGTTTCAATTTTTCTTATGGTTTTTTTTAGAAAAAATTATTAATGTAACAAAAAACTCTCAAAATGGGGAAAATTGGCGCCACAAGCTCTTTTATGAAAACTTTAGGATTGGCCGATCAAAAAGAGATGTTGTAATTTAGTAGCAAAGAAGGGACGACCAGTAAAGTCTCGGGAGAGAGAGAAAGAGGCCGGCCAACGCCCCTCCATCTAAATCCACTAGTGACGTTGACCGCGTTTTTTACAGGCATGAAGCGATTACTGTGAATGATGAAAAAGTTTATTTCTCTGCTTTTAGTGGCTCGTATTCCTGAGTTTTCGGGAGACATGAGCTTCGAAACTCTCTCAGCAGGAAGTATTCGGGTGGCTTGGAACACGGACTCAGACTACTATTCCGCATTCAGGCTATTTGTGAACAAACAATTAGTCGGAACGACTGTTGAAAAGGGTGAGGGAATATTGCGGTAATTTGAATCGTGCATTATGAGTTGAAACTTGAAGTCGTTCTACCATTAGCGTTGACTATGGCGTCATTGTTGCAGAATTTTACCAAATGTTTGGTTCGAATCTAAGAACTTCTTCATGGCATTCCAACAAAAAGCCTCTGAGCCAAATATGAGGTTTTATCAATTTTGTACTAGAAAGCGTATTAGAAGGTTATCACTGTCAACTTGAATGATTTGTTTCGTATTTTGCACCTTTTCACATCCAAAACGTGCGCTCTAAGGTATGTGCAGATAGCCTAAGCTCGCTACTGCTTTCTTCATCTTCTTGCGAATGCTGCTTAGATTTTGTGCTGAATAATCTGGTCACTGGGACGACGTACCAATTTGAAGTTCAAATCGAGAGTTACGGAAGATTGGGAAACAAGGAATTTGTCATCTTCCAAGCATGTGAGTTGCAGCCACATCCCAAAATTGTTTCAAGAGACGCAGTTCCCTCAATATTCATTAAAGTGCAAGAAAAACGCAGCGAATAGCTCTTACACTGAAAAAATTAGTTGACTTTATACAGTGCTGATTTAAATTATCCAGACAAAACGAACAAAACTTGAATTTTCAAACGCGTTTTTCTCAATTTGCGTCAAGATTAGACAAAAAGTGAAGATCACAAAAGTTGCTTAGAATTTCACCAGAACTAATATGGTGCCATTTTTTCTCCAAAATTCTTAACAAAAATTTCACCCCAAAAATGGGTCAATTTGGCTTTTTTCAATTAATCAAGAATTACGCTGAAACTATTTTGTTAATTGATACGAAAATTATATCACAGGAAGCCTCTTACGCAGTTCAACAAAACTTAACCAGGGTTAAATCTTCAGATCTCCAGGGTTAAATCTTGGCTTACTTTGATGTGACTATGTCTGTGATCGCCTGGGTATTTTTGGCGTAATTTTTGATGAACTAAGAAAAGCCAAAATGACCCATTTTTGGGGCAAAATTTTGGGCCCGCATTTTGCAAAATCAATTAAACCATATTAACTCTGCTAAAATTTTAAGTAAGTTTTGTCTTCATAAGTTTTCACCTAAACTCAAGCCAATTTGTAAAAAAACGGGTTTTAAATTTCAAGTTTAACGCGTTTTGTCCGGTTAATTTAAATCAGCACTGTATAAACAAGACTGCTCATATATCAGGCAAAGCCCTGGATGTTCCGACTGTCCCTTAATTCATATTGAATATATCGAATAGTTTTCGGGAAAAGAAAAGATTGAAAACTTATTAATTTAATATCAAAGTGTGAAGGGTTGCGTCGTGCAAAAATTCATAGCTAGCCTCAATTCAATTTGGAACAATGTTGCTGTGCGGGATAACTCGCCATGCATAAATAATTCAAGTTGCGCTCTCAGCAATAGGAATGAATTCTTCAAAGCGAGCTTAGTTTAGCCCTGAACATGGCCAATTTGTCAATTTTCAAAACCCCAGAACTCTCAAAAAGTCAATATTTTCAATTCGGTATAAAAAATATTGTCGAAAACTATTATTTCGATCGGCGAAAATTGACCGATAAAAAAACCACAGCGAGCATAAATTTTGACAATAGGAACCCTAAATATTACCACCATCATGGCAAAATGTTAGGCCTTTGAACGCGTATTTTCAAACGGAACCGAAATTGCTAGAAAATTTTACAATTAAACCAAAATCGTGTAGCACTTTTTCCCGCTAAACTACATATTATTCTTTCAAAACTGTTAATTCTGACTTTGACTTAGCGCAAACAAATTTAAAATACCTTGCGATTTAGATGAATTTAGCGGGAAAAACTGCTATACGATTTTGGATTTAATTGTAATTTTCTAGCACTTCCGTTTTTTCTGTTTTTTTTTGGTTTTATTCAACATTAGAAATGCCAAAAAAACTTCTGCATATAACTTTTCTTAAGCTTAAAGATTGCCTTTCAATCGTTTTTTTTTCAAAATCAATTTTACGTAAATTGAACTCCTGTTACAAAATCAATAGTTTATGGAACTCTTTTCCTATTCCAAGATACATCTCTGATGAACGCTCCAGGCAACAAAAAACTCGAATAGCACACGATTTTACGATTAGCACTTAGTGATATTTGAGCGGTGAACATAAATTAATTGTTTTTGTTTTTAAGTACCTGGGACTACACTTAGAACGCAAATTGAGCTTAACTGAGCATTTAAAAGCACACAAAAAAACTAACTCAAGTCTCCGAATTTTTTTTCCTCAATTGATGAAAACATTAGTCTCAAGGCAACAAGTGAGGCCATGCAAAACTTGCGTTCATCCAAATTTTCAAAATGTGTACTTGTTATTCGAAACAACAATTGAGACTAAGTAAGCAATTTGCAAACAAATATGATAAGTTCGGGTAATGTTTCGTAGGAAAGCTATTTTTCGAAAAATATTCAGTGTTCCGTATGATTTGTATTCAATGCAAAACTTGCATCTATATGGAAGTTTGAATCTTTCTAGTGGACTGATTCGTCGAAATAATAAAAAAAAAACACTTCGATAAAATTTTGTCTGAACAAAAAGAACTTGGGTAGGCTCGCTTAGAGCAGGGATTTCTTAAAGATATTAGGCATCAGTTTGGAGGCTTTGTCAAAAACTTTGTCATCAAATTTGCCTTTATAAGGTTAATGTTTTTTCTTAAAAAATCTTCAAGTTGTCCTAGAATTTTTTGCTGGGCAGTTTGGACAGTTTCTATCTATCGTTTCTTGATGAGAACTATTCTGAATTTTTCCGTTTTTTAAAAGGAAACTTCAGTAGGTTCAACTTTGTTTATTACGTTATTTTAAAGTTGTGTTTCGGAGGCATGTGCCATTTTTTAATGAAAAGTATAAAGCTGCGAGAAAATTTTCCTAATAAATGTCATCACATTTTACTTAACAAATTTTCTGTTTTTTGAAAATCAAAGTTAGCCTAATAAAAAAACAAAATTTACGTTCAGATTAAAAATTAGACAAAAATTGGTTATTAGCTGACCTCTAAATTTCAATTCAACTAGAAAATCAACGCTTGCTATCGTTTTGCTTTTAACCCAAATAATCTTTTGTAAAAAAATTTCTTTAACTAATTTGACCACAACATTTTGTGCTACTTGCATAACAACATGCTATCGTATTGTTCCGACTTTCGTAACCAAAGTAACGGAATATTGATGATCTGGATGGTTTTTTTCTTCAGACATATTTCGACTTTTTACTAGCCATTTTTGACGGAATTTTTTATATCATTCGAAAGGTATTGTTGTCTTGAGCTTAAATTTGAAAAGATATTTTACCTGTGATCATTTTTCGTCAAGTTATGAGGGTTTAAAGATGGCCATTTTGGCCATTTTGACCAATTGGGGACAATTAACGCGCGATATAATTCGCGCTATTAACGCGTAAGCGGAGATTTATTCCGTCTTAGAAATTGTTCCAAATTGGTTGAACGAAGCTTATTTGCCATAATTGGTTTGTTACAAGGAATGAAATCTATCTTTATGTACTTTATATGGCGTGTGGGGGATGATTTTTATTAAAAATTTCAAATTATGTCTGAGTTCTTTATACCGAAAGATGACGATATATTTTATTTTTGAAGTTGTTCACGTCATTTGAAAAAAACAATAGTTGAAATTGGTTCACAGTTCAAGGAATTTCGATCATTCGAAATTTATTTTTTAATGTTTTTTCTTCAAAATTGATTATTGGTAGTATTTGTTTGTACAAATAATATAGTGTATTAACAAAAAAAGGTCGAGGCAACACTGACAGATATGAATTGATAGGAAAAGATTCCATTAAAAAACGGTCTGTAAAGCAGTTAGAAGTAATAATTGTATTAAGTTATTGTTCCGACTTTCGATACGAAAGTAACGGATTATTTGTGCTTGCGGTGGGTCTTTTTTTTCTGCAGACAAATTTCGACTTTTTAACTAGCCATTTTTGACGGAACTTTTTTATATCATTCGAAAGGTATTGTTGTCCTGAGCTTAAATTTGAAACATAATTTTGCCTGTAATAATTTTTTGTAAAGTTATGAGGGTTTAAAGATTATGATTTTGGCCAACTTGGGACAATTAACGCGCGACATATTTCGCGCTATTAGCGCTATTAACATGTAGGCGGAGATTTAATCCATCTTCGAAATCGTTGCAAATTGGTTGAAGGAAGCTTATTTGCAATAATTTATTTGTTACTATGAGCGAAATCTATCACTTTGCTTTTTATATAGCGTGTGGGGGATGCTTTTACAAAAAATCTCAATTTTTAGTTTTTTTTTTTCGTTTTATTTTTTTTATAATTTAATTTTTTCTTGATATTACGGCTCCCTAGACATTAAAAGGCAGTCAGAACATTCAGGGCTTCGCCCTCATACGAGCAGTCTTGTTTCATTTCGGCTCAGCTCCAAAGAAGTGTTATGCTCTCTTTGAGTACATAAACACATTTCGCACTGCCTCTTGTCGGTGTGTAAACAGACTCTCAATTAGTTTTGATTTACTTATCATTTTTTCAAAATGTCCTTGCCTTTTTTCAAGAGAAAGTTCATTGAAATAGCCCACATGCATATTAATTAAAATAACTAAACTGGAACTAAATCAGGCGAATAGACTAATTTTTTTTAGCGAATGCGACGAACAAAAATACAGGTTCAAAATTGACTTTGAAATAATATTTAGAACTCGCTGAGAAGTTTTCAGTGATCGAGATAACGATATCTCATCTGCATGTTTATTTAAGTCTCGAAGTTCAATGAGCATTTTTGTTATTAATTTTAACAAAATCGAATTATAAAATTGGTTAAATCGGAGTCGATGATGAAGTTCTAATGTTTTTTTTTGTTTTCGATTTCTCAGCAAAAATCTTTAACGCTCCAATTAGTTTTTTTTGCGATCGGAATTGATTAATTTGAGAATTCAGTTCGATTTGATTTATTTCAATTCAGTTCGTTTTATTGGTGAAAAGGAAGGCAAACTCCACTATCGAACAGCAAAAGAAAATGTAAATCAACTAATGGTAAGCCAGGGATCAGTTCAGTGATCAATGATTTTAGCACTGTCAATCAGGAAAAGCAAGAAATTAAGAGAAAATTGATTTTAAACAAGATTTTAAAAAAGAGCCAATATTCCGAACGATAACAGAACTACCCGGAATTGGAAGAAGACCTCGAACCAGAGACGACATACGACAAAGCAGAAACTTACCATATAGTTATATGATAGTTCGGCAAAAGCCAGAACAAACTTTTGTATTTAGAATACTACTAGCAATGAATTTAGATTTTCATTTGCAAACATAAAATTTTGAAGTCAATCTTCAAAATCATTTCAGGCGCTAAACAAAATTATTAATATACAATAACGATTGATAAAAAGATCTCAGATCGTTTTCCTAAATTCTGCAGTAATATACAAAACATGTTTGAAAAATATTTA